AAGTCTCAACGTTTCAACCTATTCTCAATGTTGATACAACGTTGTGCCGAATGGGTAGGGACAACCGATAGTACAACACCATTGAAGTTTTTCATTCCTGAAATTTCTTCATATTTTGCTGCCTTTGGTTTCGTATTGAGATCAAATAGCGTTCCAGTTGAGCACTTCTCTTTCGTGACATGGCATTGAACATGGCATGTCATATTCAGTATTCGGTAATAGTATAGTACGCGTGCACTTAAGAAATACAGTCAACTGCGTCAATTTAGGCACAACCATCTCTCGGAGGCATACGTAGGAATGGAGGAGGGTGGTTGCGATCTGGGTTGCGATAAGGCTGACGAGCCGGGGGCGGGGGGACATTTTGCGGTTCCCGGTCAATTCCCCGAAGGTCAATTCCCCGCGATCAATTCCCCGAATGGTTATTTCTCCGACGGTCAATTCCCCGACAGGACAGATCCCCGAATGACATTCCCCGAACGGTCAATTCCCTGTTTGGGATTTCCCCATAGGAAATGGATTTGTTCCCATTTAGTTTCCTGTCTCGCACATGCATGGGGGAATGAGGGGGGGGGGGGGGGGGGGGGGGGGGGTGGATTTGTTCCCATTTAGTTTCCTGTCTCGCACATGCATGGGGGAATGAGGGGGGGGGGGGGGGATGCGGCCGCCCCCCTGCCGAGCCGGAACCAAAGGGAGGGGGTCTAGGCAAACGGAAAGAAAGGGGAAAGTCGCTAATCTTCTCTAATCCTGGAGGGGAGGAAATCATTAAATTCTTCGCCTCCCACCAAAAGGAAAATTTGTTCCTTTAGGGAACATGACTGCCGATACAATGCCAGTCAGATCATTGATAAAGATTCTCACAGGAAAAGGAAAAAAATGAAAAAGGCGACAGAAACAGTTGTAAGATAAGCCTCTCGGCCGCCAGAGATGAGACGTTCGACAAGATGTCTATCAAAATCTAAAACGCAGCTATATATGGAGAAGTTGGGTGGCTTAGGAATCAGATCATTAAGTGGTCAGTGCTTGGACGCTGTGAGAGTTCGTGCATTCATGGAGTTCGTGAAGAGCGAAAAGGGCAAGAATCTTCTTGCTCTTGAGGGCTATCTGCTCACACAGAACAAGATCAGCAAGGACGGACGAAGAACGTATTCTATAGAAGATACAAACGCCTCTATAGAAGATACAAAGGAAACTGCAATTTCAGAGCTACAACTGAAGGAGAGCAGGTTGTCAGCAGGCGAGGGCAACATCATCGTGCTCCAGAACCTAGAAAATTATAAGCCCGCAAGGTGATCACAAACATCATGAATGATGCCAAGACCACGCAACAGAAGACAGGTTAGTGCAATAACATAGTGCATGTGTATTATTATTTCATTTACATTCCTGAACATATTATCCTGCCTTTTCAAATGAATCAATCACGCAGTGTCGAGGTCACAAGTGTATAACCATTTAATCATTTTTATAAAGAAAAATTAATAATTCAATGTCTCTTTCACAAATACTTCCGTATTGATACGCCAGAGCGCGTATGGGATTAATATGAAGATAAAATATTTTAAATTTCTATTGTACATTTCGAGTATGCTTTCATATTACTTATCAGGATCCGTTTATTGGAGGGATTGCGTATGAAACTTTGGTTTTATCATACGACTAGAAGCCTTGAAGCAAGCCGATGGCAAAAACTGATTGCTCTTATCGCATCATTCCAGGGCAGATTCTACAGGCGAATTTGATGGGACTGAATACCGAGGCCCAAGTAGCCCTTCCAGATGCAAAGTTACTCGCACGACAGGTGCGCCGTCATTCGGGAGGAGAACGTGCCCAATGATCCCCCAACAAGAGCTCAGATTGTGATTCCGACTGCGTACGAAAACATCATCTCTGCAGCGCCACAACGCTTCTTATTGTGGGATAGCCAAGATGCCGACCGGATACTCCTGTTTACAACGACTGAGAACTTGTGGCTCATATCCGCATGCCAAGATTGGTACATGGATGGCACTTTCAAGACAACTCCAAGGCAATACATGCAGATGTACAGCATCCACAGGCGTTTTCATGGATAAATCATCCCACTTGTATACACTCTTCTACCAGGGAAAGATGAGCGACTGTACACCAGGATGCTGGAGCACCTTCGTTTTCAGCATGGAATTGCTGCACCCCAGAGTGTTACAACTGATTTAGAGAAGGCTGCTCAGAATGCCCTGGAGCGCGTGTTTCCAGGTGTGCAATTGCACGGTTGTCATTTCCATCTCGCGCAAAAGCGTATGGAGAAAGATTCAAGATTCTGATCTGTAGCCACGATATGAAAATGATCCTGAATTTCGCCTGCAAATGAAGCCCCTTCCTGCACTCAGCTTTGTGCCACCAGCAAAGGTGGAAGATGCATTCAACGACCTTGTAGCCACCATGCCAAACGCAGCACTGCCTGTACTGAGCTACTTTGAAGATAGTTATATCGGACGGGTGATGAGAGGGAACCGTCGGATACCACCTCTGTTCGAACCGGGTCTCTGGAACAACTACAATCGTGTCCTGCAGGACCTTCCACGTACAAGTGCCGTGGAAGGCTTCCATTCCAGTTTCCT